CGAGACGGACCGAGGCGGGGAGTGGGGGTGACAAGGAAGAGGGAGCTGCTCGACCCTCCACGCCACACCCTATCTCCCTTTGCCCTCTCGTCACCCTCCAACTGGCGTTCCCCTTCTCGAAAACGCAACCGGTGTGGCCATCATGGCGCATGTGACAGATCAATTTGAACTGTTTATGCGAATCACAATGAGACGTCATTCCAGAGGATTTCTTCCGGGGCTGGACAGAGGGCGTTGAGGAGCGGTGAGGGGTTGGTGGGGGAGGAGGGAATGGGACCGCTTTCATTTGTGTGATGGATCTGTTGAGATGCGACACATGGTGATGTTCAGATCTTGCCGGCTCTCTGTCGTTCCCGCGTTCCTGGTCGGCTCTCTGTGTTCAAATAATTGAGCGCGGGTCAATCTCACAAATGCCCTCAGTGGATTTGTGCTAAGACTATGCGGCAAAATGGCGCTAACGTGTGGCGAATGTGTTTTGATCATATACTATAAAGACAAGGAAGGTCTTCGTCAATGCAGACAATACCTGTGGCCTTATAGAGTCTTGTCGCAACCACGAAGAACTGTCCGACGAGTATGACAGATGCGCAGAAAATACAGTGAGGCAACATATGCCTGTCACTGTATGTGTCGAAGACCAGCACCGCTTACACGGTGTGCAACGCTAATACAAAGGGAAACTAAGCACATTCACACTATAAATGCTAGATACAGCACACATCCCGCGCGAGAACAAACATATGAAGCAGACGCAGACAGCTAAGGAGATAAATGATCTCACCTAGGGCACACCTACATAGACGTACATCGACACACAGTCACAAATAGCTAGCGAGATAGCGAACCCTGCACATAACACAGAACAGATGAACGACACATTGACACCGGCGCTACCTGCCCCTAAGAGGACAATTGGACAAATCAAAATGTCGGAACATCTATGAAAAGAAAGGCGTGAGGCAGCTTGCTGGTCGTCCCGTCGTCGAAGTGCACCTCAACATCTAAGAATTCTCCGACAGTATTGTCGTCAGCGTCACCTCCAGGTATCACCGCCTCGATGCGCATGTTATCGTAGAGCTTTATGTCCGCTTTAATCTCTCCCGCAATAACCACCTTGGATGGCTCGCGGCCGTCCTTGGTGAAGTGCCGACCTCCCAGGACGATGGGAATGTTGCGATTGGTGGGGGCACGCCACGGAAGGATATCAAAAACAACAGGCTTGTCGTCATTCTCATAAGCATCCAGGGCATCGTTATTGGGGACGGCAATATTGAGAGTACCACCCTTGTAGTCGAGCATAACGATGCTGCAGGCGGGGCCGTAGACAATGTCCAAATGGCCACCGGGAGACACGAGCGTCCTGCATGGCAGTCAGAGAGACGCGCAGCTGGAATGGAGGTTATGTCTCATTAGGCTCACTTGATTTCCAGCTCGTCATTTCCGCCTGTCTCGTCAGGCAGGTCGATCAGATATATTTCCTTGTTCCACTTGGAGACAAGAAGGTCGCCCCGGATCTTCCCACCTGCACGAAAAAGAGAGATCAAATATCTATCCCCGTGACGCATTCCTTCAAACGACTGGTACCGAAACAGCTGCCGCGGTACTCTGTTATGCCGCCAGTTGCCGACTCGACCGGCCATCCCGGCTCGATATCCATCTCGCCAGGAGAAATCTCACTCCGATCCATGAAGTGCCTGCATTGGGGGAGCGAGCAAATATACCCACATTTGAAGTCCCCCCGCGTCCTCGTTCAGCCGTTTCGCGTGTTATCGTCTTCCATACCACTGCCTAATGTCTTTTAGGTTGCGTGCGCGAGCAGGGTTCGGTTGTCTATGTGTCGCACACAGAGACATGCTGTGTATGCTCCACAAGTGCACGCTTCTGTCGTACCCGTGATACGCGCCTTCGTATGATTTGAACAGGTGGTCCCACTCGTAGGGATCCGCTCCCAGCGGCGGCTGACAATTCTTGTCCTCGTCGTCTTCGGCCTGGGTGTCATACGGCTTGGGCAAGAAGAAGGGGTTCATCTTAGGGTGCTTGTCGGGGATTTCGTCCCATGTGTCGAAGTCGTCCGCTTCACAGCCCTCACTCATGGGGGGAGCCACGACTGACTTCCCGTAACCGGGATTGCTGCCGTTGTCCACCAAGTACGTCTCGCCTTTGGTGGTGAAGACTGAGTCGAATGTGTTCCTGTAGCCCTGTGACCAGATGGTGACGCCCTTGACATCCGAAGAAGCATCGTAGCGGTCACCCTCAACCTAGACGGCCACAACGACAAGCGTATCCAGAGATACAAATCTCATCCGACTAGATCCCTTCAACCAACCTGGTTTGGCTTGTTGACTTTTTCGCGGGTCTTGTAATACACATATTCGATTTCCTTGCTGGTTTCTGGATTGCGGACCTCCACCTGGAGAGGAAGGTGCTCTTCACCTTCTTTCGTCAGGCTACGTCCCTCTGCCTATCTCCCTACCTTCAAGAGTGACCCCGAATAGTGCGTCTCAGGCAGAGCCCCAATGCCGCACCCGGGCCACCCAAGGTTTGTGTTACCTCCCACATTAACGTACAAATTGCACTCGTTGTCAAACTGGAGGCCATTGACGCCATGGTCATGATTCGACACCGGGAGATTCGACAGGACAATCTCGAGCTCGTCAAAACTCTCGCCGGACAGGCGAGACACCTGACCGTCGAAGCCGGCAAATCCGTCGAAGCCTCCATCTTCGTCGATGACTTTGCAGTCACCACCCTGAGAGAGGCATAAGACAATCGCGTACAGCTTCCCGCGTGACATCCATCTTATCTCGGGTTGACCCATTTGAACAATGGCGAGTGAGCGATGTAGAGGTGCGGGTCCTGCGGGTCCTGGCACGGATCGAACTCGATGCCTAGCACGCTGTGGCCGGGATACCTCTTGGAGATGGCCTCGTACACCTGGAGGGAGTCGTCCTTGACGTCAGTGTTACTGACAAATTTGATGCTCGCCACCACGCCGCTAGCCGCCCCCATGAAGAATGTCTTAGCGTCCTTTGGAGACCAAGCACCTGACGTGAGCGAGCCTCCTCTGAGCTCCTCGCTCGTCTCAGGCAGGTCGTCGTCGATGTCTTGTAAGAGCACGTGGCTCTCATACTTGAGTGTGCCCACATCAACGTCACCGGAGGAGTCACTAGACTCTACCGGCATGAGATTGGACGCGACGTCGTCCTTCGCCTTGATTTGCAGACTTTGAACATCGCCTTCGGAGAGCTGGCTCGCGTCAATTGATATACAGGACCAGCAGAAGATCATTCCAGAAGGAAGGCCTGCCTTTGTACCTCTGGCGTTTTATATCGTATTAAACTCCCTGTCCATTCGAGGACTCCATCGTCGCCGTCCTCCGCATCATCGCCAGGGCGCACCTCGTGATTATGGAAGTCAAGAGACACAGTGTCCATGATCTGCACATACGCAGTCAGTACGAATAGCAATATGCAAGCACTCCGCAAGACAAGCCCTGTGATTATCTTTCATGATACCTCTGGATTCGTAAAGCCCACCCCCTCGATGCTGATTTCGGTTCCCCCCTCCGGGTCGACCCAGTCGGGGGTCACCCTGTTGATGTGAGGCTTCCACTCTCTCTGACTGTGAGTCCACTGAAATTCTGTCCCTGCAGGGGCTTTAACTCGCACGCGCAGCGGGGTACCCTTGACCTGCTCGACCAGCCATCGCACCTCAACCTTGATCTCGTGCCCTTGCACGCTTATCGTCCTGTCATCGTCGTCTGGGAACAAGACAGTGACGCTGTGTGTAGGGAACGAGGCACTTGACTTTTTCCAGCATACCGCCACCATTATCGGAAGACTCCTTTTCATCGTCTGCATACGTGGACGTATCGACGCATTCATGGTGTCATCATTGTCATCATTTCGTTCCGTATTACGCATACGTAACGTTATGACTGCTTGCCACGTACTGTCATCGTTGTCATCATCTGCATGCGTGCAAGCGTAGTGATGATACAGGCCTCAATGCAGGGATCCGTTGCTGGTCCATGTAAAATGTACCTTCATCGGCTCCGTTGGAGATGTCACCATCTTCGTCTGAGACATGCGGCATGCATCCCCCTAAGCCACATATGTCCTGCACCATACCGTCGCCATCCTCAGGCGATGCCTCTTGATGGTCCCCATCTGCACGGCGGCAAGACGTATCCAGCCGGCCAATGTGTCCGTATGTCATGTGCTGGTCACAACACACCTTGGTCATCCTCAGTCCCATCGTTGCTGTCGTCGGGGTCCTCCTTATCGTCTGCACGCGCGAACACAACTACAAGACGGTGTATTGCGCGCAGGTGTCCTGCAATTGCTCTTTCTTAGCTTATGCAATGTCAAGCTGACTCAGCATACCATCATCGTCTTGAGCGGGGATATCGTGGCTGTCACCCCCGTGCTTCTTGTCTTTCAACTTCGTCTTGACCTTGTCCATCAGTCCAAACTTTGCATTCACATCGGCCGACGGAATGAGAAGGCTGATGCTCCCTGTGGCGGCCTGGACAGAGTGCTCTTCGTCATCGACCCACACAATGGCATTGTCGCCGCCCTCAATGACCAAAGTCACTGAATCAGAGCCCCCGAACACCTCCAGAACACCCTACGACGAAGAAGCAAGAAAGGGGCTATCGTTAAAATGCTACAGTAGCCCTTTGATGCACCTGTGCTCGCACAATGAGGTTCTTCTTGAATTTCTTGTCCACCAATCCCTTGCCCTGCGCTAGAGGGATGAGGTCGCAGGACTTGTACGGCGCGTTGTCTCCGTCCAGTGTCCGCTTGAATGCAGCCGTGGCGACAACACTGGAAGTTATCCACACTGGCTCGAGGGTCTCGTTGTCGTCAGAAAGCTCGAGGGTCTCGTGGCTCTTGACGGAGCTCTTCAGCCATGACGACATGTCATCGGCATCGGATGGCGTGTAAATTGCCATGGAACAGCCAGGCACCCTTTCCAGAGGGACGACGGCGATGGGCGTGGTGGTCGACAGCTCGTGTCCAGACGAGTCCTTGATAGTAAGCTTCACATCATGGTGACCTACTGAGAGGGAGTGGTCAAAATCCCTGTCACATGCATCTTCGTCATCCGCTTCACAATCCTAAGAGGCAGACCACGGGCTTCAATACCTTGCTTCTTCGCTTTCCCTCACCGATTTGTGCACAGTCTCATCACCGACTTTAAACTCATAACTCACGACGGCCTCACCAAACTCATGAGTATGAGAGCCACCACCCTGCACAAACGTGTATGCGCACGCTAAAATAGAATGAATGATTCCCTATGGGTCCACTTACATCAATGGACACGTTTTCCATGGCATCCCCGTCATAGTCGATCGCAACTCTGGGCTCCATGTCAATGACGGGATGGAGATACTCTGCTGTGTCCTCTGCGAGGGGCCTGGTCCCGACGGGAACGAAGGTGGGCGGGAAGTTGTCACCAACGACGGCCAGGAGGAAGGCGTCGGCACTGAGACCCTGCCTCATCGTGGATGGGTGGATGTGAGACAGGTGAATCGGGAGAGTGCTGTCGACAGACACTTGAAAGGTTGAGGAATCAGCATGGAAGCCCGACTGTCTTGCGGAGGCAAACATGGTGCTGGTCAGCATCTACATCAGCAGACAAATTGCGAATGGCTTCGGGATCACGAGCCGAGATAGCTGACCGCTCACCTCAGTGGGAGGTGTCTTCACCCCCACACTGACGACACGTCGGACGATTGCTGGCTGGGTAGATCCGTGGGTGAGCTTCAGCTCAGGCAGCTGAGCCCGCGTGGACGCAGCAGGGGGTAAGGATTTCTGTAAACGGGCTGGATACTCATCAGGGACCCCAGCACCCCCAGACAGGAGAACCCATACCTGAATGAAGGTGTGGTAGGAAGGAGCGATCAAAAAGGACACCGACTTTGTGTCCTTTACGTCTCTGCGGATGCGAAGGAATGCAATTTCTGGCAATCTTCCGCTCTCGGCATCCTGTGTTTCCTTCGGCTTGTTGGGCAGCTCTTGCTCCAGCCTTTGCCCCACTCTCTCTCTTCTCGGTCTCCATGATACTGTGATGTTGATGCTTTGAAAAGGCTTGATGTCTTCGATGAAATGGCGTTGCTTGTTGGGCAGCACTACCTCAAAGCCCTCTGTATCTCCTTCCAGTCTTGGAAACAGGCGGCCTGATGAACGCTCAGGGTCGTCATTCGATAAGTGGAATGTCACTTGAGCGAGCGACGGTGACAAATGGAATGTCGGATACGGATGCTCGTCGTACATCTTGCCGCAGATCTTCGGGGAGCACGGGGGTATGGCAGATGCCGTCAGGTTGACGGGCGGAGCGGACGACAGCTTCTGCCAGGTGAAACCTTGCCGCCCAGGTAAGAAAATGAGATGTTCGATGTGTCAGTTTTCCAAAGCGAATGAAGACGGACCTTTGCTGGTTTGACTCACACTTGTGGCCAGCCTTGGACGGTACATCTGCAAACAGGAAACTTTGCCAGCGGGTCGGCGATCACCATGTCTGCCCTTGCGTACCTGAAGGTGTCCTCTGGCGCTTGAACTCCATGCCTTTGTGGAACCTCCGACCACATACATAATGCCAGCCAGCGAAGTACTTCCTAAGCACAAGCGGGGCAGCGGCACAGGAGGAAGTCCCGCCCCCTCCCACTCTATTCCATGTTGTCCTTGGTCCTTACCGGCACCATGGATCTGCTGAGGCATGTCTGGCCCCATAATCCAGTTTCTTCCTTTCTCCCCTTCTTCATTGCTCGTGCATTCTCCCTTAATCATGCGCTCAAGAGAAGTCGCGAGTGTGCCTTTGTCGTCCATCCGGTCTACGTTGGATCCAACGGTCGAACGAATCTCTCTGTCGATCCACGGCATCCCACGAAGTGCCCGCAGAAGACGCTTCGCTCTCTTCTTGCGCTTTGCGCAGATATTGCGAGACTGGAGGAACTCAATGCTCTTTAGGGTATCTCTGTTGTTCTTCTCTCCTCCTGATGCCATCAGGTAGTCTTCGTTGACGTTGATAAGCGCCAAACCAGCACGAGCATAGTTCATTGAAGGCCCATCCGTCCACTCGCCACTATCTGGATCGTAAATCTCAACACTATCAGTTTCGTCGACAGATCCGCCCCACCGTCCTCCCGCCACATAGATGAGACCGTCCATCACAGCAGCTGCGACGTGCTCGCGATGTATCTTGGGGCCTTCCCTTTGCTGCCATGCGTCCGTCTTTGGGTCATAGACCATCATGCTGGGACGAGGCAGAATCAGCTGGTCGTCATTTTCGAAGCTCTCCTCCACTCCGCCGATTACGTAGATTCGGCCGTCATGCGTAACGGCTGCTCCAGCGGCTCGTGGCTGAGGCATGTCGGCCAGCGGTTCTAGTTTGTTTGTCTTGCTGTTGTATTTCCACGTGTTGCGTTCGGTCTTGCGGCTTCCCCACTCTCCACTATAGCCTACAAAGATTGGGAATAAAACATGCACAAGACAAGACAAAACACTATCCCGAGTATGAGCACCTCCGAGTATGAGCATGCTATCACTGGGCCTCTGCCCTGATCCAGTCGTGGCGCGTGCTTCCGAAGGAGGATATGAAGCCATCATGAGGTGATGACGCGTATCTGGAAGGCTCGGTAGCACTTTTTCATTATCCCATCGGCGTCTGGCAGGGTCGTAGCGGCGGATATCTGTTCCCGACTCCCTGTACCCGCCCACTGAGTATAGCATGCCATCCGACAGCGCTATGGCCCCGTGTTCGGTCTGATCAGAAAAAGTGGTCTGTCGGCCTTGCGATGTCCCTACCAATTTTCCAGTACCTGATAGGGCTCAGGCATCGTCGGTCCCTCCGACCATTTCCCGTCGGTAACAGCGCAAGGGACAAAAGGAAGAAACGCCAGAGGGACCGGAGTAGAAACACCCTGGAACAAGACAGACGGACCGTTCCTGGGATCCGTCACGTTTTTTGGAACATGTGGAGGGCACAAGTCAAAAGACAAAGCAGGCGACCCAAAGTCACGCTCCTGACGCTCTCTCAGTAAGCTATTCACTGTCCGCCCAAGGGTCAAGACAACAAGAGTCAAGAGGGTCAGACTTGCCATCATTGGTCGGTTGGTTGTTGTGTTTAACGGCCTTTGAGGAAAAAAGCGGCCTGGGGCATTCCCACCCCATAACCTACTAGTACAAGTAAGGCGCCCCCGTACAAGGCTGAGCGCGGTGCACGACTCCCCCATTTGGAGGCACTGTCACAAATCGACATACACCACCACGAGCACCAGACGTATGCTATCTGCGAGGGGGTAGCAATTGGGGGGTAGGTACCTTCCTTGCCAGACACGGCCCCTCGACTACCACACCACGCATTTATGCATCCAAGTCTGCCGTGCACTGCACTGGAGACAATATTGACAATACCCCTCGCTGACGGCTGATGCCACTCAGTAGTGATGCCTTTCAGAAGGATCGGATGAGAGAGACTTTGTACGAATCTATCGATTTGCGTTTCTTTGTCTGCCACGTACAGGGATTCGCGTAATTGTTGTTGTCGTCTCCGTCTGCTTCTACAGCGATACGCACGGAATATCGGTCTTTCAATCCCGCAGGTGAACAGTGTTCTTGCAAGGCTTGGGTCTTTCTCTCTTTCCGACTGCCCGCCGTCTTTTATCGGGCAGTACCTCCCCCCTT